CCTATCTTTGTGGGCCACTCTTTCCTCGCTATGTTTATAATTATTATTATTATATTACCCCAAATTAATATATAATTATTTTTATTTCGTTTTTTTTTTTTTTTTTTTGAAAAGTAAAGTTACTTTAGTAAATTATTTGTATCTACTTTTCATTAATTTAAAAATAAATAAATAGTTAAGTTTTAAAATTAAGGCGTTACATCAGTCCACTCCACTCCACTGTAGTATAGTAAGATATTGTTACCTCCACACCTCATCAAAACGACAACTAATTAAGTGGCTTTACAGATGTCTTCCATGTCTCAATAGTAACTTAAACTGACATGATACAGTAACATACATCTTTGAATTTTCAATCGTCCATGATTAGTCCACGTCGCAACCCATTTTTAGACTAGTAGGCTCTATGATAAGCAAGTGAATGTTGGTATCTCAAACGACAACCACAATGCCTATGTTCTTTTATGTACAAAGTATGTATCCACTTAAAAACTTATAATCAAAACTCTAGGCCCATAGTTATATGATTTCTATTTGTGTTTTTTCTTTGAGGCTTTCCCTCAAGGTTTTAAAATGTATCTGTAATAAAGAGGTTTCACACCCTTATAAAAAATGATTTGTTCCCCTCTCAACCAATGTGGGATCTCACAATCCACCCTCATCTAGAGCCTAGCGTTCTTGCTGGCGCTTGTTTCTCTCTTCAATCAACGAGGGATCTCACAAAATGTTTTGTAAAAGGACCATAATTTCTAGAGTCCACTTCTTCCTCATACTACAAGTGAAAGAGCAAATGATTACCATTAAAGCACCGGCCAAACGACATGCTCAACATGTTCTAGGAGTCTGAAGATCGTTTTCATAAAAGATGAGATTGTTAAATAAAAATGAACTAACACTGGATTGCACAGAAAATCAATCATTCAACCTTGTAAACTAATCGAGATTTAAATTGGAAAAAGAAATACGGATTGTTAAGAATAACCAATCAACGAAGGAACATGAAATCACTATAAGAAACAGTTGAGTTAATGAACAAGTTGTTACAACCACAGATTGACATGTTAGACTAAACCTCAACTTTGATTGACGTTGACTTTTCATATAAAAAAGAAACCATCCTTATAATATTAATATTCATAGTGTGTTTGTAATATTAAAAAAACACGAAATCGACACGGATTTATAATTAATAAATTAATTTGTAAAATTAAACAGATGAAAATGATGGATGGATGAATTATATGCATTGGCAGTGTAGAATACAGCTTTCCAGGATAATTTCCTTCCCTTAATACATATCCATTGCAAACATTTTATTATTTTATTTTTATAAAAAAAAAAAAAATATATATATATATATATATATATATATATATATATATATATATTAAAAAATAATAATTAAATTATGACAACTGGCTAAGGTTCTCAGGATTTGGCACATAATAAGCAGGTGTGTTCATGTTGTACAAATTTCTGTACTTTTTTTTTTTTTTTTTTTAATGAATCTGTAATAATTGACTTGAGATATCACAGAAACTCTGTATTTCTGCTTTTATATATATATATTTCCACAAATTCTTACAAACCAAAAATATATTTGTTTTTAGTTTTTATTTGGTTAAATATTAAAAATTTGTTCTATTTAATTTAATGGTTTTTGTTTAAAGTTCAATACATACCATTAAACCGCTCATATACGTCTTAATTAATTATACTTTATAATAGGATAAGATTTAAGAATCTTCTTAAATGCTCATAAATATGCCATCTATTAAATCATAAATGCTAAAATCTCTAAATTAATATGTTCTTTTTCAAATTAGTATAACGGTTGAAGATTCAATCTAATAATTTTATTAAATAATATAACCTTTCAATTTAAATATAAAAATTTTTAAAAAATTACAGCAAGGGACAGTAAAAGTCAAATTATTTTATTAATAAACTTAATTAAGAAAATTTTAATAATTTTAAGCCTGCTATTTAAAATTTAAGAAATTTATTAAATTATTAAAATTTTCAAATATATTGTTAATAGACTAAATCAATTATTTTTTTTTTTTCCATATTTAAATGGATTCAAAATTCAAGAATTTAAGCCTATGATATTAATAATTTTAATATATTTTAAGATGAAACTAATGTTGACAAATTTTTCACATTAATATATTGAAAAAAATGTGAACCATTTTGGACTAGAATTACACTTTTCATGTACCTCTAGGCTTTGACATTCAACTTTGACAATTAATTATGAGAATCATTGAACTAACCAAATAAATTACAAATAAGATGGCTATTAATTAACTACTTTTATCACACACAAATTAATTAGTAATTAAAAATATATAAAAATCAATATTAAAGGAAATTAATTTTTATATTTTCTCAATCACATTTTTTTTTTATTTTCTAATGTTTTTAAATTCCATTATAAATAGATTTGATAGAAATTATGTTAAAAATTTGAGTTAAATTTACCGTATTAAATTTCATAGTTAAACATGTTTTGTTGGTAGCAACTCTATGTTGGGTAACCTCTTGAAATTTTTTTTAAGATGCATACGAGTGAGTCAATGAGATTCCACATTGGTTTGCGAGGAAAAGAAAACATTCCTTATAAGGGTATGTAAACCGCTCTCTAAGAGAATTGTTGTAAAATTGTGAGACTGACGACGGTATGTAACGGGTCGAATCGAACAATATCTACTGTTACAATGTCGCAGGGGATGTAGGGCACACCAACAAGTTCTAACAATAATAAAACCCTAATGACATTTTTATGCACAACCAAACACAACAATCTTTTATCCTCAGACTTTTTCTCTTTAATGATAATAAAACCCTTTTTTATTTTCCACACAAATTCCTATAATGAAAAGAGAAGAAGTTGCAATAAAGTCCAAACACAAAGACATTGACATTTTTGGTCATGGGTCAAACTTGATGGAGGTAGATGCAACTACTACACACACTTGCTTTTAGCCTTCATTAATGCACAAAGGCAAAATGCATCACCATGTCCTTTGAATTCAAAAGGGATGGGAGTTAGCATTAATTCCCCCCAAATAAATTTCACCTGTCCCCATTCTTTCCTTCATCCATTTATTAGCACTCAAAAGTAGCACCGTGTACGAGTGAATTACGCGTATACAAAACACTATACTTACTTACTCAAATAATTAAACACATATTATTTACTATGGTAAATATAGTTCTCTCAATTGACATAAAAATTAATAATCTAATGATATTTGGAGATAAATAATAAATTAAACTAATTTTAATAATTTTTTTTAATGGGGTAAGTCTAGTATTTTTAAGAATTGCTTTTTTTTTTTTCCAAATACAAAAAGACATTTTAGGTGACATATATGCAATTTGATGATGTCCTAAAGTAAATATAATATAATTAAGACTTTTGATCAATAATCATTATTTTATTAATTAATTTAGGGCTAATATAAATTAATATTTTGACTCTCTCATTTGCATAATTATTTTTTTTCATTATTGAGGAAGCAAAAGTCAACTACATTGGTTAGTTGTGCATGCATACTAATTAGATAAGGTTTGATGAAAAATTATATATTTTCCAACGTTGAGTTATTGGGTGTTTGTTGAATTAAATTTTTTTAAATATAAACTTTTTAAAATTTTCAAAAAGTATATAATTATAAATTTTTAGGGTCGGTATTATTTTTTTCTCAAGGTTTTACAAATTTGTACAAATGCCGATCGATTCTATTTAAACGGATTTATAATAACGAGAAAAAAAGAGAAAAATTGGTTGCATGATCTAACTAGCTCTCCGGCATCTAAGATTTTAGGTCGAAGTTGATGGGATTAAAATTGTTCATGAAGAGATTGTGAGACAATTTACAAATCTCACACAAAAATTGACGGTTAGTATGGTTAAAAAAAAGGTTAATTATATGACTACTTCTACCACATGACCTAATTTTCTCTCTCTTTTTTTTCTATTTTTATAAAATAAATGGTCGTCATTTTAATTTTATGAAATGTTTAATAAATCAACACGTAATTAATATTGGAATTGATTCTTTTTTTAAAAGTAAAATAAAAGACATTCATATAAAAAGCTGTAATCCTTAAAGACGCATATAGAGATTACACGTACTAAACGATTATACAATTAGTCAATGTTTTAAATCCGGCTATTCGTACGAATATTATTATCTAAAATTGATTAAAAAAATTAGTAGAAGGTCGGAGTTTATTTATTTATTTATTTATTTATAAGAAAAGGAAGAGGAGATTAGTGAGTGTATTTAAAATAATGGAAAAGGTTGTTAAATATTTATAATACAAAGTCCCCTTTTGTCTTAGCCAAAGGACATTTAATTTTTAATTTTTAATTTTTAATTTTTAATTTTTTACAATTGCAACCTCTCCTGATCACTAGCGCCACTCTTTATCTAACAAAAATAATAATATTAAAATTAAAGTATCCCCCACACGCTATTTTTGTAGTCCTTTTGGCTTGGGACACGTGCTCTCTTAGTCCCTTCCCTTCTTAGCTTGCCTTCATCTCTCTCCCTATAATTTAGATACTTAAAAAATTAGAGTAAACGACCATCACAATGTAACTGACAGCTTTGTGTTTGACTGATGAAAACTGTAACAATGTATTGAGTTTATGCCTGATTGATGAACGTATGAGCTAAAAACCGTGAAAGTGTGTCGGATTTATGTATGAGTGTGAAAGTATGTCGGGTTTGTGTCCAATAATGATTAGGACGGGTACACGTGTTTAAATTTACGGTGGTTATTACGAGAGAGTTACATTGTGATGGAGGAGATATGATATTCATTTGTAGGAGGTAGAGGGAGGGAGGGAGAGAGAAGTATGAGCTGGAAGGAGATTCCGTGTGTGCGCCTTGAGCTGTATTGAAAACCCCTTTCTGTGTGTTATTTCCTTGTTTCCTTCCCTCTTTCCTCGCCCCACTCCATCAAAACACTATAAATACCCCTTTCTTAATCCCCTTTTTCTTCACCCTCCTAATTTCCTCTCCCAATTTCATCCATACGCCATAAACCAAACAACTCCGAAACATGTTCTGTTTCGCCGCCGTCATCGCCGCCTTCTTTCTTCTTCTTCTTCATTTTCTTTTCAAATTCTCCGCCCCTGCTCGCCGGAAACTTCCCCTTCCGCCGGGCTCAATGGGCTGGCCTTACATGGGTGAAACCCTCCAACTCTACTCTCAAGATCCCAATGTCTTCTTCGCCTCAAAGAAGAAGAGGTTTTTATTTGTTTCTCTGTTTGTTCATGTTTTTGGGTTTGTTTCTCAAATGGGTTTTGATTAATTTGATTGATTTGATTGATTTTGTCGTGTTTTGATTACAGATATGGTCCTATTTTCAAGTCCCACATATTGGGTTATCCTTGTGTGATGGTTTCTAGCCCTGAAGCTGCTAAGTTTGTGTTGGTCACTAAAGCTCACCTCTTTAAGCCTACATTTCCAGCCAGTAAAGAAAGGATGTTAGGCAAAAATGCCATCTTCTTTCACCGAGGTGACTACCATGCTAAATTACGACGCCTCGTTCTTCGAACATTCATGCCCGAAGCGATTCGAAACATCGTCCCGAGTATCGAATCCATTGCTAAGAACACTGTTCAATCATGGGATGGACAATTGATTAATACCTTCCAAGAAATGAAGATGGTATAATACTGTTCTTCCTCAATTCTTTACATTAAAAACAGAGCAAAAACAGAGTAAAATACAGAGCATCTCTGTTTCTTACATATACTCTGTTTTTTTTCGAATGGTTTGTATATTTGGTTAATTATGTTCTTCTTGTTCTTCTTCAGTTTGCATTCGAGGTTTCTTTACTTTCGATATTTGGAAAAGAGGAAGCTCTTTACTTCGAAGACTTGAAGCGGTGCTATTACACACTTGAAAAAGGGTACAATTCAATGCCGATAAACCTGCCAGGAACACTCTTCCACAAGGCCATGAAAGCAAGGAAAGAGCTAGCACATATTTTAACCAAGATCCTCTCAACCAGAAGGGAAATGAAGCGCGATCACAACGATCTCCTTGGATCTTTCATGGGTGAAAAGGAAGGCCTCACCGATGAACAGATCGCCGATAACGTCATCGGTCTAATCTTCGCTGCTCGGGACACGACAGCGAGTGTTCTAACATGGATCTTGAAGTATCTAGGAGAAAACCCAAGTGTTCTTCAAGCTGTCACTGTAAGAATCATCTCTAAACTTGAACCAAAACCCAAATCCCACTTTCTTTTCTTAGAGCTCAGAAATGAATTGAAATGAATTCTCCTCTGTTCTTGGGTTTGTAGGCTGAACAAGAAGCAATCATGAAGGAAAAACAGAGTGGAGATGATAACCTCACCTGGTCTGACACCAAAAACATGCCGATCACTTCAAGGGTGATTCAAGAAACTCTAAGAGTTGCTTCAGTTCTATCATTTACCTTCAGAGAAGCAGTGGAAGATGTAGAATTTGACGGTAAGAACACAAACCCAAGAAACAGAAGTTCAATCCTGAAATCAAAACCCATTTTCGTCTGTTTTCTGATTCAAAAACTCCTCATCTTCAGGCTATTTGATTCCAAAAGGATGGAAAGTTCTTCCTCTTTTCAGAAACATTCATCACAGCCCAGAAAATTTCCCTCAACCTGACAAGTTCGATCCTTCAAGATTCGAGGTAAAAACAGAGTAAACAGAGCACAGTGTATTTATTTATTACTACTTGCTTACTTCATTTAGAAAAACAAGAACATATTCTTCTTCCCTTTCCTTTTTCCCACACAAATTTGGTTAGCCCAAACATTCAATGATTGTGTTTATTATGATTGAAACAGGTCCCTCAAAAACCCAATACCTACATGCCATTTGGCAATGGAACCCACTCTTGTCCAGGAAATGAACTGGCCAAGCTCGAAATGCTCGTTCTTCTCCATCATTTAACCACCAAGTACAGGTCGGTAATTTCTGAATCTTTAACCTTCAAAATCATCTGATCCAAGAAGACCCATGTGATTGATTTGGTTGTTGGGTTGAAATTTATGCAGATGGAGTGTAGTGGGCGCTCAAGAAGGCATTCAATATGGTCCTTTTGCGCTTCCCCATAATGGGCTTCCCATTAAAATCTCTCTCAAGAAGTAAAAACAGAAGAACACAGAAACCCAGAAAAGAAAAACAGATCAAGAGAAGAGAAAACGAAGATTGTTCCAAAAATTTGAGTCAAAAATTCAGAAAAGGTTTCTAAAAATAGAAACAGAGCAATGGAAAACTGTTGTCTAAGGTCAAATCAGAATCAGTGAGGTAAAGAAGAATCAAAAACAGAGGAAATGTGCTCTGCTATGGTTTTTTGGGCAAAAGGGGACAGTTTCTGACTCGCAAGAGAGTCATTATAGATTGGATATACTTTAGAAAAACCCAACGGTCCTGATTTTTTTGAGTTTTATTCTTTTTTTAATTTTACATGAAATGAATGGGGAAAAGTCCTCAACTGTATTTACTTTTACATACCAATTTTGTTGCAACCAAAAATTGCCACGCAACCCTAATATAAGTATTATGATATAAGTTCTCTTCCTATTACTCGGATCCCTAAATGCAAGGGTATAATGGTAATTGTGATGGATGGGTCGGTCGGTCGGTCGGTCGGTCGATCGGTATTGGACATCGGTTGTTTATTATGAGTAAACTCGTAACCATATGGATCCATAAAAGAATTAGAGAGATTTAATATTTTTATTATTAAGGTAGAAAATACAAAAATTGGGAATTTAAGAGAAATAAAATGAAATTATTAACTAAAAAAAGTAAAAAAGGTTTTATTATTTTAGTATTTAAGAGTCAAACAATGAACAGACAGCCAAACATGACCATGACGTGTTGACTTAAAATGCTGGAAATAAATCATCTCATCTACCCTAACCCTTTTGAATATTCGACATATAATAAATAAATATATATTAATTAGGGAATTTAATTCTCTTCCTCCCTCTCTCAACTTTGACTTTCCCATGACTATTATTTATTCAACACAGAAAAATTAATGTTATATTAAATAGATTCTTCTATGTTTCCAATGAAAAAAAGCCACGTGACTTGCCTTTATCTCTCTTTAATTATTCCATTTTCAAATCAAAATATCTATGAATCATTGAAATTTTATTTTGTTTTTTTTTAATTCTTAAAATTAAGAAAAAAAAGAAGTTGAAAATGGTAAAAATTAATTCCATCTCATTAACGAGAGTCAATAGGTAGGTAGAAATGTCTATTTTACCGGCGAGACTCGATGCTCGCTAAGAACAAGAAGATATTCCGTTTTGATGGAAAATAAGGAAGGAGTTGGAAACATTTTCTCAATTAGATAAATAGGGCCGAAGACAGAGGACGGAATTATATTCCCGTCCTTATTTAATATAAATATTTCTTTTTTTTAATATAAATTAGTTAGTTAATTTTAAGACTAATTAAATATTTAAGCGGTAAATTTCTTTTAATTGGCAAACATTTTGAATCTTAGGTAGGTAGATATATGTTTGCTAATGAAATATTTTAATAAATATTATATTATTTTTAAAAAAAACTTTAAAATGCATCTATTAAAAAGTAATAAAATGGGATGTACTGAAAATTAGATTCCCACAAAAATAAATGAGAAATTTTGCACGAATAAAAACAAGAAAGATTTTCCCGTTCTTGCACTACCCAACCTCGTACACATCTTTATTGGTACGTAATTGAGCCATGATAAAGTTAACCATCTTTCTTTGAAGGTTCTTATTATGACATAATCTCACACGACGAGAAAGTATCTAATTAGGGTTTAAAACTTTAGAAGTCTTTTTTTTTTTAATCGAGATTTAAGCCAATTTTTATCCGAGGTTATTAGCCAATTGAATATACTTACCATATTTTTTATACAGCAATGCAAATAAAACAATTAAAAATGAAAAAAAATTATATGGCTATTTATTATGTTATTATTAATTAAATTGCCAAAGAAAAAATGAAGTGGCTATTTATGATGTCTTTATTAATTTAAATTTAACATTATTTCTAAATCAATAAAACAATAATACAGTCATTGGAGATTCAAACGTTAAACACACACACATAAACAAACAAACAAAAAGAAAGAAAAAAAAGAATTTTATTAAATACTTAATTAGATAAATATTTAAATTAACATAGTATATAATTTTACCCTAATAATCATTAAACCAGCTACTAACCGCTGCTGTTTCCGTTGACTTTCTCCTAAAATGAATAAATCATTTCTAATTTTTAATTCTTTCATATTTTAAATTTTTTCAAAGTACTTTAAAATAAAATCAATTTTTCATCCTTTCCTACTATAAATTATAATTATATTTTCTTTTTTCTCAATGCTTTATTAATATCTAATAAAAATTTATTAGTTTTTTGGACATTTTTCAAATCTACCATCCTATTACTTAAAAAATTAAAAGCTTTATATTATAATACAGACTTTGAATTTGATAGGATGATTTATTAGACACAAACATTTGATATTTTAAAAATTTTAACACTTACTATATACAAACTTGAACGACTTAACAATTACGTTTTAATGTTTATGACTTATTAAATATAACTACAAAATTTCATAATCGACGATATTTGATTTGTAAATTACAAAATAAGGAACAAAATCAGATAATAATATATATTTTCCGATACGAAACTTGTTTAATAATTTATTTATTTTGATTCGAGGTCAAAGTTCAAAATCTCAAAATTGTAATATTTATTGAGGAAATGATATACTTACTAGCTGTAAGATTATTATAAGATAATGGGGGCGGAAGTAAGCGAAATTATTATGAAATGATGAGAGAGAGAGTTAGAGAGACACGTGGCGACACAAAAGGAGCTGAATTTGGTTTGCTTGCATTCGTGGCTGCCACCTTTTATAAGAAAATATATTTATATATATTGCATGCTTCATACAGTTTGTTTTATTATTTATTTTATTTTTGTCCAATGCATATCTAAACAATTATAAACAAAATTGGCCACAACTTACACAATTTCAACCCGAAATTGTCATCAATATTTCTATTTAATCAAAAAAAAAAAAAAAAATCATAATCTTGTTTATCAATTCAAAATTATTGACACGAATAAAATTCAAAAGATCTCGTTAAAATAAAAATAAAAAAATTAGAAAAAAAAATATAGGATGACTTAAAAATCTTCAACTGTATTAATTATAAAATTGACTTTAATTGTATTATCGTAATGGAGTTTCCTTCTATGAAATCTCCTCCGATTGTCGTGATGTTGAATATCAAGTTTTGGTTTTGACCTTTTGTTGCGTTGTCATTGCTTAGCTTCATTCATTAATTGTAATCAATTTCAAATTTGCCGATTCAATTACACATTACATCACAATATTGTTCTTAATTTAGATTATTTAAATAATCATCTCATTATGTTCTAATCATATTGCTTATATTGATGCAAATATTAATTTATTTATCCTTAAATGCTATATTTACCTTTTTTCTTTTGGAGGAATTCACTTGGTTTTAACTAAGACTCCTTGCCATGGGGGATGCACAGCAAATATGGAGAATCCTTTAGAGATACAAGTAATACCAAATTTGGAAAATATAAAAGTTGACAAACAATGTGCTACCAACAGGTTTTAGAAGCCGTGCTATGAATTGCTCGAGAATTTAAACCATTCATATCAAGAGAATAGGTTAGTTATCTTTAATGCTATGCTCACTTTAGCACCTCAAAAACTAGTTTGCTTGATAGATTACCTAAATGCGATAATGCTATCCAAGTGTGTATTACAGCGAGTTAACAATTAGTTATATATCAATTTGGACTTAAATCACCAACTCCACGTTTGAACTAAAAAAACAATAATAAAGAAACCTAAATGGAGTTCAATGAATTTGAAATAGTGGTTCATAGTTAGCGTGCTAAATCACAAAAAATAACATAAAATTAGAGCAATTCAAACGATAATCAATTAATTTAATTGGCAATCCATTTCGTGGACAAACATGCCAATTCACCCTACCCTGCCTAAAAAAGGTCAATCACTCGTTTTCTTAGAGAGCTCATAATGACACCTACACCACATACACATAAATATCTAATATATAGATGTATATACTACGTAAGCATCTAATCGTGGAATGTTTGCATCATAAAAAAAATACTAATGGTTAGGGTGTCCTTTATGAGATGTTGCCCATACATTTTCGACTCATCATGAATTGCGTGTACAAATTCCATTGCAAAGAGGATGTTAAAGCCTACCAAAGATATCCCTAGTAGAGAGTGAAAGAGAAAAACAAGGGCCATATAGAGTTCTAACATAGCTGATGCTTGATGGGGCATTTAATATTCCTTTGTTACAATACAGTGTATGAATTATACAGAATAAAACATGTCAAATTGCAGACGTGACATAAATAATAAATATAAAGCTTGAGCTAAGCTGAAGAAATTGGCACATAAAACTACCCAAGTGAAATCTAGTACTAGATTAAATACTGACCTGGTTATTTAACAGCAATTCTTGGATGTAAACACATGGGATGGAAACAGCGAGTCGGAGGAGCATCGGTTAAGTATCGAAGGTGGTCCTGCTAACACCATCATCTGCATAAGCTCTGCATCTGTTTCTTAGCTGTGGACGATTGCATGAGTTCAGATATACAGGTTAGAAACTATGTGTTGAGTTTGAATTTCTTTGCAATGGTTTAAGCATGTTTGGTTAGCATTCTGGATTTTTGATGTTTGATAGGCAATCAAAGTTTACTTTCGTCAGCATTCTTAAATTATTTATCCATTTGGAAGAGGTGGAAAAAGGTAACCAAATAAAAACTGCACCTTTTCAACAGCATCTTCCATGGCCGAGGCATCTTGCACTCCTTTCCTTAGGATATCAATACGGCCTTGAACATGCCGGTTCTGTTCCTCAGCCTAGAGAAAACCTTTATTTAGATTTACTGATGAAGAAAAGATGAGTTAAGTTGGTTTGATTAGTTACAAGTGTTGCTCACCGTTTTTAGCATGTCCTTCAAGTGTTGGATCTCATTCTTCTTTGTCATGGATAGATAATTGGCAATTTCCATTATGTTTGTCCTGCAATTTCCATTATGTAAAGCTATGAAAACCCGACGACTGTGAAACCCCATTCCCATCCCATTGCACAAAAAAGAAAAACTAGAAGGGAATACGAGGGCATTTAACCACAAATTTACAAAGAATTTTACAATTGTACCCACGACGCCATAAGTAGTGTATTACAAAATGTACAAACCATCTCCCAATTATAATAATCATCGCAATCAAATTCTCGAACAGAAATGTCACAAAATTTATACTTCTATTTCACTAAAAGTGTTATAACAGAAGGGTTTAGCCTAGTTAACATTCTAACTGTTGTATAATCATCGTGTGTTTCAAGTGATTCTTCATTCATAAAATATATTTAAGATTTAAAAAATATTAGTTTCTAAACTTAACCGGTTAATTCCTAAATTTTAGTTTGTAACAATTTTGACCTCTTACTTTAAATTTTATATCAATCTAGTTCACGT